CCTCTTTTTCTTCTCTCTCTCTCTCTCTCTCTCTCTCTCCCCTCTCTTTCTCGATAAACTAACAAACTTCAAAAAGTTTTTTATTTTGAAATGACAAATATCGGAAAACGACTCCTAAGAAATTTCAATCAGCAAACTAGAAGATAATCGATTAAAATTATTTATTAAATAGAAAATTTCTCAACACAATATCTTACATAATGACCAACAAGCCTCTATCAGAAACGTGACACTAAGACTCACTTTTTACAGTCCCTTGCATCACTCAATTTCTCATTACATTCAATACTCATAATCTCTTTTTATACCACACAAAATCCACGAAAAATGTGAAGAAAAAAGAAATTAAAGAAGTGTTAAATTCAACGAAAAATATTTCGTCCCATCTTCACAACATCTTCAGACGCGTTAACCTGAATAAAAATCTTCACTTAGGTTGCTCCATTGATTAACAAAAAAATCAATCGAAACCTCTCCCTTTAATATACTCTTACGCGTCGAAAGAAATCACAAGGTCATCGAAGTAGGAAATCATCTATCTCGTAACCGGTCTACAAAAAAAAAAAGACGGATTAAAGAAAGAAGTAGAGAACAGTAGTTTCGACAATGTACATACATTTCTGGTACAGTGATGAAAGACGAATTCTGTGATTGGACCAAATGTCAATGTCAGGTGTGTTGGATTTTATTGTGCAGGGCGTTTCCCATTCGCGCGTTCTCCCATCGATGAACGCGTGCCCCATGGAGCGAAACCTTTTCGCCCAGGTGCTATATAAAGGTGGAGACGAGGTGGACACCATGAGACCGCATCAAGGCACCTTGGCGAGTACTGTTGCTCAGATAGCGCGTAAGGAGCCACTTGTTAGTTCATTATGAAGAGCCTGGTGAGTACTTGTCTCGTTCGTTGAACCACATTTTCTCGCTACTCACGTATTTTTCAGGAGACATTTCTAGAATACTAATAAATTTTCGAAAATATTAATATCTTTAGAATATTAATAACATTTATAGAACACTAATAATTTTCTAAAGTAATAATAATTCTAAAATATTAATATCTCTAGAATATTAATAATTTTTCTAGAATATTAATCATTTTTCTAAAGTATTAATAACATTTCCACAATATTAATAATATTTGTAGAATATTAATATCTCTAGAATATTAATAATTTTTCTAGAATATTAATCATTTTTCTAAAGTATTAATAACATTTCCACAATATTAATAATATTTGTAGAATATTAATATCTCTAGAATATTAATAATTTTTCTAGAATATTAATCATTTTTCTAAAGTATTAATAACATTTCCACAATATTAATAATATTTGTAGAATATTAATATCTCTAGAATATTAATAATTTTTCTAGAATATTAATCATTTTTCTAAAGTATTAATAACATTTCCACAATATTAATAATATTTGTAGAATATTAATATCTCTAGAATATTAATAATTTTTCTAGAATATTAATCATTTTTCTAAAGTATTAATAACATTTCCACAATATTAATAATATTTGTAGAATATTAATATCTCTAGAATATTAATAATTTTCCTAAAATATTATTATTTCTATTGTATTATATTTCTAATTTTTAGAATATCGACATTAATATTTATTGAGCATATCTAGAATATTCATAGTGTTTCTAGAATAGGATAGAATGTTTCTTTTTCTTTTCAATTGAATTGAGTTCAATTGAATTTTTCGTTAAAAAGGTTTCTGTTTGAAAATCATTGTTTATTCATATATTTATAAAATTCTAGCAACACTTGACGATTCATATTACACTTTTACAGTAAGGAATCCTTTTTTCCAATTTCTTGAGTCGATAAAGTAAAATCCAATCTTGGAAATTTTTGTATAATTGATTTAAAACAGATACTCTGTACATTATATTACAAGATATTATAAATTAAATTGTTTTAATTGATTCGGCCTATAATTAGGTCAGTTATTTTCTTTTTTATTGAATATCTATAATTGCAGTAACTAAACTCAATAAAATAAGAAACTAGGTCCATTTTTTTAGTTACCAAATTTAGTCAAATATCCAATTCGCAATTCAAAATCTCCCTTAATAAACATACTTTGCTCTCCTAACCTAATTCTTGCAAACACAAACTTTCAGTATATCACATTTACCCTAAATCTCCCAATGCAATCATAAATACGAAACTTCTCATTAAAATATTAAGTTAATTTCTCTTTCCCAATAATTAATTTTCCCTCTCCAAGCCTTCCTCACTGATCTTCCTTCTAAAAATTACAAACTCTTTCAGATCGTTTTCTCCGCCATGTTAGCCGCAGCGTTCGCGCGGCCAAGCGTTCTGCTGGCGCCACAGGTGGCAGCACTGGCGGCCCCTCTGACCCTCGCGAAGTTAGTGCCTGGAGCGCCCATAGGGTTGGACGGTCGTGTGGTGGATACTCCAGAAGTGGCTCTGGCCAAAGCGGAACATGCTGCTGCACACATCAACGAAAGAATCTCGTTAGCGAACGAGGCCGTCAAATCAGCCGATCAGGTGATCACGTTGACGAGCCCAGTGCTCGCCGGTGGCATCGAACCAATAGCTCTTGCAGCTAAACTCGTGCCTTCAGCTCCCCTTGGACCCGACGGACGCGTCGTAGACACGCCAGAAGTTGCATTGGCCAAGGCTGAACACGCTGCCGCTCACATCAACGAGAAACTCGAACAAGCCGCGAAATCTGCCTCTTTGGAGCTTCCTGTCGTTCTGTCGACGTACTCTGGACCAGTGATTCAGAAGGTTTTACTGTGAAAATGATGAGATCGATTGGATCGTTCGTACGGCGACGTTGGCTGCGATACTTTTTTGTACATAATTGTGGGCTGATTGAATAAAGCGATATTTAACCTATAGGCTTTTGAATACGTGAGTCCTTTCTTATGACAATCTTTCGTCAGATAGAGTTTTGTTCTTTTCACTTATCAGAGCATTGAAACGAAGTTTAACAGTGATGTATTTGAATAGTGACTGATTGAATTCTTGACATTCTAATCTTTCTTTGACATTGAGCCTAAGAATAACTTCTTTCATTTAATGAAAGTTACGTTTACGAAAACTGTTTTGTGCCACCGGTGGAACCGCGTTGAAGGAAATTTTAATTGTAGGTAATCAAAAAAGTTTGTGTGGTTTTATCATTTATTTAAAGAGGAAAAAACTATATAAATTTTTTTGGTTATTTGATATTGGCGTAAGAAATCTGTCTGACTGAAGATTTTCGTATGACATTGTAGTTTGGTTAGGAGTATCTGATGGTTTGAGGTTAGGTTGCTTTTTGTGACAGTTTAAACGATGCCATTTAGAAATTGCCTTTTGCTCAGCTATTTTTGTCTTTCTTGATGCTCTTGGTGTTTTAATTAGTCAAAGGGGAATTGACAATTTTCAGCCCACAAATGATGAATTTTACATTTAAAGGTACCTTAAGAGAAATACAAATTAAATTAATCTAGCAACTCTGTCTTATTAAATTCAAACCCCGTTCTCGTAAGAGATAAATCTAATATTTTCAGCAAGACTGGAACAATTGTAAGAATAGTTTATGAATGTACAGTTCTGATATCTTGCGCTGGCAATAAATTTTTACACATTTTGATTATGTGTTTAAACATAAATGATAAGAATAAAAACTGATTTTGCACACAATTATTTTATTTCATTATTTATTCTTCCAAAATGGGAACAATAATTTACTGTTCTATTTAAACTTCAACATTTGTAAATTCAAATTGGAATGCAAATAATAGAATCACGAATTTTGTAACCCATAACAATTATACACATAAAACAAAGTTTAAAGCACTGGACGATTAAATAATTTTTAATTTCTACATTAATTTGTAAGTTTAAGTAGAATGTTTTAATTTTTAAATAATATGCTAGGAATATTTGTATTAGAATTTAGTTAATACGACAAAGTAAGAGCATAATTTCTTTCGATATCCTTAGTCATTCCGCCTCCGACCACCGTCGAAGCAACATCTTACTCGGTTGTTCAATCTGTCATTGATCGAAATATAATTTTTTCAAATTATTTATTTAAATTTACATTTGTACGATAATCAAGTAATTCTAACCTACAAAAATTTTAATATTTGTGTGTTTAGTCTATCATCGATCGAAATATAATTTTTTATCTTAATTTTCTCAAATTATTTATCTAAATTTACGTTTGTATAGTTATTCTGTGCTAAAAAAATTGAACATCATTCTATTAACATTGTTACATAGGCAGCCTAACTGAAACGATGGCGCCTGAGGTCTGGTTTACCCCGCATTCTCTAGATAGCAAAAGGGTTAGAGCATGAAGCGAGCACATTCCGTTCCCACCACCAAAAATTAGTTTTTTTGGGTATATAAGGAGCAGATTTCTGACGCTCTAGAGTTCAGTCTTTGCTCATTCTATACTACATTAGAGACTTTTGAAAATTTTGCATCTTATTCAACAAACTTTTGCAAAATAAATAAATAATAAAATTTTGCAAAATATTCAAAAAATGTTAATCCAAAAACGTCATAGTAGATAGTAACATAGACGAATAAGTTGGTAAATTGGCCCTGAGCACAATAGGCACAACTTCTACTAAGACAAAAATAATATAAAAGAAAAAAGGAAAAGATATATCAACAATTACAACCTGCGAGGTCCTCAAACCTTTAACCTAGTAGTTCGTCCACAAAATCTATTCTAAATAGTCATTTCCGGTGTTAGCCATACCACAGACGAGAAACAGGACAGACCTAACACCTAATGCATTTTTTGTTCACGTCAGGAGGGCTGAAAGTGTCCTTATCATTATCGTGCCGTTTCTAACGTTACCGATTCAGCGTAGAATATGATTGCAATATTAGTAGTGGTTGGAATTAGAACTAAATGTAACTATGAAGTTACAAATAAAATACAGGACAAGATATCGTGTAATCCTGCACGAAGTATAGAATTCTATACTTCTACGTGTATAATATATACATTAAGTTGAGTTTTGGGATTTTTCCAATTTTTTTCGATTATTACGCGTTCCTAACGATATCCGGACCATAGTTCATTTAATTTTGTAATGGAATATTACTTAAAGAATGAGTGTGTCAGAAGTTTTTCGCTGGATTACCGGCGTATTTCCGGACCTAGAAAATTTTAAGTGGACTGAGAATTGATTGACTAACACTACTTACCGACTTCGACAATATTTGGATGCCCGAGAAATGATTGACTCGCACTGCTCACTGATTCCGAAAAATTCAGACGTCCGAGGAATGGTCGACCTCGCTAACTAGCCTCGGTCTCGAATTTTTCTAAAATATCTCGAATTCAGTGAGTAGTAAAGCCAACCGTTTCTCAGACGCTGGCACATTTTCCAAATCGGTGAGTAGTGCAGGTCAACGATTTCTCTGACGTTCGAAAATCGAAATTAGCAAGGAGTGCAGGTCGACCATTTCTCGGGCATCCAAAAATTCTCGACATTGGTAACTTGTGTTAATTATTTTCGTACAAAAGTACTCTACTCATTGTGCGAAATGTACTTTACAAAAAGTTACAATATGCCCGTGTTGTTTTACAGCATTTCACAGTCAATTTAATTTTCCCATACACACCACGTTCGTTTTCTTTTGCAAAATTTAAACAATACTCCATTGCAAAAGTAAATAAGCTACGAAACGCTACGAACGCGTAAAAATCGAGAAACTTCCGAAATTGGAGCGAAAACGTTGAAAATTGGGCAAAAACTTAGCGTCGAGAATGTAGATTTAATCGTCGCGTGTTAATGTCCTCGGGAATTCCTGGAATTGGCGTCATTTCCAGGAATCCGCGTCTTTTCGGTGTCATTTCTAGGAGTCAATGATATTTACAGGAATCGGCGTCATTTCCAAGAATCGACCTCCTCTCACTTCATACTCGCCTAGTACAAAGTCATTACTTTGGCCGAGGAATTATTGAAAATTTTCGGCCAAAATAGCGACTTTGTATTGGGCGACTATGAAGCGACAGGGGGTCGATTCCTGGAAGTATCATCGATTCCTAGAAACGACACCGGTTCTTAGAGATGACGCGGATACCTGGAAATTACATCAATCGAGGAATTCCCAAGGACTTCAACACGTTACATATTTGTCGCTACTTTCGCTCTAATTTCGAAATTTTTGCTCAATCTTCATTGTTTCCACTCCTATTTCGGAATTTCTTCAATTTTCTTGATTCTTTCACGTTCGTAACGTTTCCTAGACTTGGTTTATCGAACTTTGCGATGAAATCTTGTTTAAACAACGCGTTCTTTGCAAACGAAAATGAACATGGTGTGTACGGAAGAATCAAATTGACTGTGAAATGCTGACAAAACAATACCGGTATATCGTAACTTTTGTAAAACACATTTTGTACACTCATCTTACAATATTTTGATAAATAATTCTGACGTTTAAGCCGTTTCCTTCATTTCTACGGCATCTTAGAAGATCCACCTGTAATTCATACGCGAGAAATATCAATTTTTCTAATTTTTAATAAATGTTACAAACAATTTCCGACTAATCTACCGAATACAGTGGTCAATTCGTTGCAAAATTAATGTATTAAGCTGTTCTATTAACTTACAGCATACAGTAACTTCATTTAAGACTTTCAATAATTATAAACAACCGTCGTATTGGAAATGGGTTATGGAATGAAATAGTCTTTTATCTTTGTAATATACGATTTTATTTACGGTCTCAGTATGGTATGGCATTGTGCAGTGAGTGACTCGAAGACGGACACCAGATGCATCTGGTGGAAGTCTTAGTGCCTTTGTTTAAAATAACCCGGAGACATTTTTGTCCTCACTTGATTATTTCCATAGGGTGTGGTTAGAAATAATCCAACACGTCGAAATTGTCATTTAACCAGAAACACTAATCACTCTACAGTTAAAGTACTTGAAAATAAAGCGGAAATTTTATTGTTCGATGCGTTTCACACCCTCCGTTTGGGAACCGCTGTTTCACGCCGTTCCTTCGCCAGGATATCGAAAAATATGAGACAGTCAAGGTCGCTGTCGAAGCCTTTTCCTGCGCCCACGAAGAGTATTGTTCGCGTACGCGCAGAAATAAATTCCATCTCTTCTACTCTTTAGCGACAATGGCGCTGACATAGTATCCATTATCGTGCCGCAGCAATTTCTTTATTTCCTGGATTCTTTTTCGAAATGTCCCACGAACGAAATAAATCGTTGAAAATTTAAATATTCAAACTGTAAATAATGGTCAAATAAAATAGGGGTAATGTCATTGCAGTAAAAGCATCAGTGAACAGTCATTTTTGAATTTTTCTTTAGACACAAGGGAAGGAATTTCGAAAAAGATACAAAAGTGATAATAAAACAAAACTTTTACCGTATTACTGGTTCGAAGATTGTTTTCACGAATAATTCTGTTAGCTCAAGGAGTGATCATTTTTTTCCAATTCTTATTTCAACTTCCCAAGCAAATATCCTTATTGAAAATTCCAATTTATCATTTGTCCCACTGCTATTCGTTCAAATTTCACCAATGTTAAACGCAATTCATATAAAATTTCCAATTTTTAAGAGAAATCTGTTAAACTGCAATCTGAAGACTGAACAAGTGAATAGAAGTGGCGTTTACGTAACATTTCGATCGATGCAAAGTGGTACAAGTACTGTACCATCAGTGTAAATATTATAATAATGTAATGTAATACAAGTATTCCCATAAAAAGAGGCAGATTTACCAATTTTTTTACATCGTTAGTGTCGAAACGTTCC